GATGATTGAATTATTTATCAACGAAATTATCCCAAAAATATGTACTGCGAATTTTGCAGTAAAATCGAACGAATTTGATCATAACATGCGATCTCTACATTGTTCTAGTTGTTCTTTCTTGGAAGGGAGATATTTTTCATCGTAAAGATTACGAAGAGCAGAGTGAGGACGTGCTGTATTTGGCTGGCTGCTCTGGTTCATCCTGTACGCAGGCAACACTTAAGTGATAAGTTGTCCGAAATTTTTCAAAACAAATCACAACAAAATCAAAAAACCTGTGGACTCGACGAGATTGTCTTGCCGTCAAACATTTTCGTGCATTAAGGGCTGCATGTTTTGCATCGGCACCCTCATTCTTGCTTACTGTTTGCGACTGACGAGGTAGAACATAATCACACTTGGAAAGGTCTGTAGCCAAATGACCTCTCTGTCCACATCTTGGACAACAAATATTCGACATACGCATCAAGTGCCAAGTGCTAGAAAAGTATAGCCATTGAACAGCAAATCAGTACCAAACATCCGAAAGAAATATTTAGTTACTTACATATTGACATGAGCTTTCGGATAAGAGATACCACATTCCATTCGCTGCTGACGCCAATCTTCGCGATCTCTGCTAAATCGGCGCAGCTTCTTCACCGTAGCATATATTTCAGGTTTGTTCTCACGTGTTGCAGTAAGCATGACATTTTCATAATAACGTCGGTCAATCGCCAGCGCCTGCACTTCTGTCACAGCTTTGATATCGAAGATTGCTCCACGCTTTGAAGTGACAAGTGGTAACTCTCCAGCAATATCTCCAGCACCAATTAAAGTCAACTCAATGTTCACGACTGTTTCAGGATTATTTCTTGAAGAAGCTTGTGGTAGGTGAAGGCGTCGCATGAAAACATCACCCCCCGCTGTGTCGAAACTCCAATTGATGCGCTCCATGACTTCGCCTGAAGTTATGATAAACATCCACTTTGCATCTGTGCCAGCTCGATAAAGATATTCCTAAAATTCCCTTAGACAAGATATATCCTCTTTAAAACATGAAATCTTACATTGCTGGTAAAGTGGCGGGACCTCATTGAGCTTACAAGACGCATTTTTTCTGACAGTATGAATGGAATGAATCAGAAAAATCAAATGGCAGTATGTTCTGTGGACTCACCAAGCTTTGCCCAGTTTTTGAAAAGAAACATTCGATCGAGGACCTCGGCATTGTTGTAATGAGAAGCCTCCATTGACGCCGTACGAACCAACCGTATATAATCCGCCCGTTCTAGGCAAATCAACTCGCACCTTTCCGTGAAGTGTGAAGCTTTGATAGTAGCATTGCGCTTTGCTGACGGATTTAACAACACTATTTCGCCAAACATAGCTCCTGGCCCGAGACTCGCGACCATAGCACCAAAATCTACTTGTGCTAAGTTGACATCGATACTCAAACGTCTTGTTGTTCGCCTTTGCTTTGTCATCGATAGCATTGGAGGGATCGGAGCTAGAGTCACTTCGACATTACCCGGCTTTTCAACTTTTACATACACATCCACGAGTCCGTCCACAACGATATAACATCGGTCACCAGTATCGCCTTGACGAATGATAACTCCTCCGCTTCTCATTTTAATAAGTCGCATCTGACGGCAGATTTCACGACGAATATATTCCGGTGCTGCTCCAAAAATGTTGTTACTGTACTGCTTGCACTTATCGACCATCCAGCTATACACAAGGTCCAAATTTTGTTCATTCCGTAGTGCCGGTTCATCCATCAGAATCGCTTTGGCAGCTACTAAACGTTGTTCTTCCTCGGGTGTTCTTTCAAGTAATTTCACCAAGTGGGGTGGAATTGGGAGCTTAATAGGACCTGTTTGACTGTTTGAAGGACGATAAGATGACTGCCGGCGCAATGAGCCTCGCACCTCAAGCGACCTTGAGAGCTCCGGAAGCTCGGACATTAATACCGCTATTTTTATCAATAATTAGAGACTTAAGTTCGCTGAAATAGTTATAGTGATACTGTTTCCTTTGTAGCATCCAGCATCATTCATTCAAATCGGTATGAGAACATTATTTTCCTGTCGTGATAGAAGCGTTGCTGCCAACAGTTCAAATCCTCTCCATTTCGGCTATATGCTGCTAGGTGTCGTGAGGACAGATGATGTTTAGATTACTTGAGCTCGTCGACAAGACCTGCAATTGAAACATCATCATTACTTTCAACAAAGATATGAAAGCTTGACATCGCAAACTTTGTGTATTGACAATTGTATGCATAACGGTTTGATGCACCTTCCATTAGTTTGCTTTCAGAAATAGCACCAAATGATAAAGTGCTTTGAGCAATGCTTGGCAAACACTATGCATTTATTCTCATAACAACATGTGGGATGTTGTTAATTAAGGCAGCGGTACAATCTAGTTAGCGTTGATTTGTTCAGGTTCGCTTTCAGCGGGCAAAATTACCAGCTTGCGCCACAATGAAGCGAATGGATGCATATTTAGCGCGCAAAATCAATGCGCGTTATTGTTTCGACAACATCACAGGACGTGCGATTTTATACAATCACAACAAGCAATGCTGGACGTCACTGAAAGAATGTTTGCTTTCAAATGTCTTACTTTTGCTTTCTAATCCATTTCGCTACTTTTGTCCGAAGACGAAGAGTCGTTAATTTTAAAAGATATCATCACCGTTCCCGTTGTCGGTGGCGCTTAGTCTAAAAAACCGCCATTTACTTTGCACAGAAGAAGCTTTGAGAGTTCGAGTTGAATGCGGGTTCCTACCAGGAGCGGATCCGACGTTGTCAGTTTGCTTTCTGATTTCAGAAGTACACATTTTTAGAGCTAAATACTGTCTTTCTACGTCCCTCCTTTTTAGTCTTCACAGAACCAATACTCCAATTTTCGTAAATGTTTACAATTCACCAAGTAAATTGCAGATTATTTCGTGATATTCCCGAGACCTCCGAATATGGATTCTGAATTCAAAATTTTGATATTGAATGCATTCGCTTATACTCTACTAGCTCAAGCAGTCGTGCATCTCATGCGATGTAAGACGCTCCGAAATTTATCACGAATTTTCAAGGCCATGAGAAGCCCTCCTTTTTGAGGTCAACGTTCAACAACTCCTGGCTGTGAGCCTCGCATTTATTTTAGAAGGTCTAGCTTCCTAAAATGATAGAAGCCCCATGTCTTAGATTTCACGAAAAGTAGTAGAGCTCAGCATTTTACAGAACGCTGCCTTGCGCCTACCGAAAACTAAAAAATACCCACAAGGGATCCGTGGCTCGGTCCAGCGTTGAGAGCTCCACCCTCCGTACCTGTTCGCCGAAATTGAAGGAAACATGCGGTGTGTGATGGTTAATAATACCACAGATGAGAATTCTGCGGGTGCTACAGTGCTATTTACGAGATCACTTGCATTTATGTCAACCTGGCTAAGGTCATAGCGTGCTTTACGAGCGTTAGCATATTGTGTTGTTGCCGCTTGGAATTTGCGTTGTCACACTTCATGCACCTGTGACTAATAGTGAATTTACGTGGGAGGGTTCGATACTCGCTCTATAAACATTTTCTGATATGTGTTGTAGTTCTTGTGTAGCCAGATCAGGCCACCCGCGTGCGTTAAAAGTCTTGTCCACCGCCATGCATCTTTATGAATGTCCGACTACAGTCACAGTTGAGAACCTTATTGCCGGTTTGCAGGCTCTAACTTTTCCGGAATTGGTTGGGGCAGCCTGCCTCGTATATTGATTGACAGCACGTGAAGTCCATTTTCGCATGTGAC